TGACTAAGGCTTTGTTTGGGACGGTTTTCTTACTGTTGCTTAAAGCAATTTTTTAGTACAAAATTAAAAAAATTGTACTAAAAAGCTACTTTAAGAAGAAGTAAGAAAGCCGTCCCAAACAAAACCTAATTTTCCTTCTGAAATTCTCATAATTTACTTTTCAATTTTGTTATATATTGTTATTAAGCCACAGGAAGATAGATTTATGTTTCGTTTGGAATGGCTTTCTTATTGCTTTTCAAAAGCAAATTTTTAGTACAAAATTTATATAAAAAAAAAATTGCACTAAAAACAATTTTAAGAAGTACCAATGAAAACAAGCTTTATGTTAATTGGCAAGCAAGAAAAACTGTCACTTAGCGCATGAGGAACTTCTCAAGATTGAAAATTGTTCCAAGGCCTGAATGTGTTCCACAATAACGATCAATGAACTGATTTTTTTTTTAATGTTCAATTAGTTCTGGCAAAGAACCAAATTAGGGTTTGTTGGAACATCACAACTCATCATCGTCCCTGCAATAAATGAAATATAAGAGAAGAAGGAAAAAACTCAGCTTATCTATTGAGCACAGCTTTAAATGAACTGCAAAAAAATGTTGGCAGGTCTTAGTACCTGTGAGCAACCACAAGTTGCTTTGGTAAGATCTTGGCAAAAGAACCTTGCTGAGTTTTTGCTTCGCTGTTTTAACGGCCACTTTCCTTTGTTTTTTTATCAATTCAGTCTTGTGCAAATAAGAACCTTTGTAAGTGTCGCACTTACTGCCTGCCCCACAACAAGAAGGCAAAATTCAGCTGCTCTGGTATTAGCACATCAACAACTTCAAATTTAGGTGCTTCCTAAAGCAGCTTTTCAGCATTAAAAATTTCTTTTAAATTAAACTTTTTTTATAATAAAAAGCTGCTTTTCAAAAAAAGCAGTAAAAAAAAGCTGCCCCAAACAAACAATGGCTTTCCTTATTGGTTCGTCTATAAAGTAATTTTTTAGTCACTCAAATAAGTTTTAATTTTTTTACTAGAAAACTGCTTTAAGAAGCAGTAAGAAAGCTGTCCCAAACGAAGTCTTAATTGAAATAATAACGGAAAAGATGATATATTTGAATGTGCGTCAGCTATCTTAATTGATAAAGATTACCAAAACTTTGCCATCCGTGGTTTCATAACTATTGAAAATTGTTTGATTCAATCTCAACCGTCCAAAGTGGATTGAATGGCTAGGATTGGTGAACTGCACCCATACAATTTAAATGATCCAAGCTCATGCTATAGAGAAATCAAAATTTTTAAGTATGTGATGTGTGTTAACCTTAGAAAAGACTGCATTTCCTTATATTCCCAAATTCTATGAAATAATTCCAATGGTTCAGTAAGGTTTCTTCTTCTTCATAAAAGATTGGGGAAAAGAGTACAAACTTCATAAAAGAAAAGAGCTCGCTGGATCCATCACA